TGTGTGTTATTCTATCGAGGTCAGGAGATCACAGGGACCATCCCTTGGTTAACACGTTTGTTGAAACCCCGTCTCTACTTAAAAAATACCAAAAAACTACCCTGGCGAGGTGGCGGGCCCGTAAGTTTCCCAGGCTACTTGGGAGGCTGGAGGCAGGAGAATGGTGTAAACCGGAGGCGGAGCTTGCATGAAGCTTGAGATCCGGGCCCACTGCACTCTACCTGGCCGACCAGAGTGAGAGACTCCGTCTCAAAAAAAAAAAAAAAAAAAACCTTTGAGCCAGGTACTGGTGGCTCATGCCTTGTAATCCAGCACTTTGGAAGCCAGGGTGGGTGGATTTGCCCTAGCCAGGAGTTCGAGACCAAGCTGGGCAACGTAGGGAGAACTGTTCCCTACAAAAATTTTAAATTAGCTGGGCATAGTGGGCACGTGCCTATAACAGCCCAGCTTCGGGGACTCAGGTGGGAGGATCACTGGTTCTTGGAGGTTGTGGCTCACACCCCATAATTCCAACCCTTTGGAGGCCAAGATGGTAGGATCACTTGAGCCCAGGAGTTCAAGCGAGCAGCCCGGGCAATAGGGAGACCTCGTCTCTACAAATAAAAATAACACCTGGCTGGGTAAAACTGAACTTTCTTTTTTTTTTTTTTTGAGACAGAGTTTCACTGTTGTTGCCCAGGCTGAAGCTGTGAACATTTTTTAACAAGTCTTTGTGTGGACATAGGCTTTCCTTTCTCTTGAGGCACAAAATTGCAAACCACTTGACGCCTTACAGTAGGGCAGAGATCTGTGCAGGTGCTGAAGGATGAGTAAGTAGATTGTGGGAGGGACACAGAACTAACCACAGATGATCCAGGCATAGGCACCAGGCATTGAAGTGGTGGCACACTTCATTGCAGGCTTCTTTCTTTTTATGGGCTTTTCGTTTTCTCTCAGGATAACGTTCTGAGTCTTTCTGGTCCTCTTCCAACCTCTCACATTTTCCCAATTTCTCCCTGCCAGGGCCATTAGCTGTGTCAGACCCTGCTCTTTAACAAGAATAAAGAGTTGGTGATGGAAGCTAAGATGTGTTGCAGGTTTGGTGCAAGGACTCACATGTGCAGTCTACATGTGTTACTGTGTGTAATCCTTCCAGGAACCTACACAAAGGAGGTACCATTATCATCCTTACCAAGCATTAAGGAGAACAAGGCTCAGAGAGGTTAAATCGCTTGTTCAAGATTACACAGATAGTAAGTGATGGGTTAGATGTTGAACCAGACTTCAGAGCTGGCACTTTGAACCTCAATATTGTGATTAATATACCCTCTTTGAAAAGCTAGATCATGTATGGTGTTTACGATGCCATTTTAAACTGTTCTCTCCACCATCTAGTTAACTCTTGTATTCCTAAATTACTGTATCAGTCCAATGGCCTTGTCCCTGGTAGCCCAACTAGCTCAGATCACCCTGGACAGTATCCCCAGCAGCAGGTACCTCTCACCCAGCCTGCCGCGGCCCTTGTGCTTGATTAACGCCCACTGGGCTGTGAGCACAGCACAAGTGTGGGCACCATCCTTTGCTGCCCTGACTGTCCACCACCTCAGAGTGCCAGGCTCTCGATGATGATCTCTGAATGAACCAGGAAAATGAGTGAATGAGTTACATTATCGGATGTGCATATTTGTCATCAGCTTTATTGAGGTGTTTGTCAGCTTTATTATTTACATCAGTTTTATTGAGATTATTTACGTATGACAAAGTTCATGGATTGTAAGTGTACAATTGAGTGAGTCTTGACAAATGTATACCATCGTGTAACCACAGCCACATCAAGGTAAAGTATGTTCCATCACTCCAAGACCCTCTCCTGGCCCTTACAGTCCATCTGCTCCACCCCCAACCCCTGGCAACCTCTCTCTGTTCTGTTTTTCTGTCCTTAGAGTTTTACCTTTTCTAGAATTTTAGACATGGAATTACATAGTATATGGTCTTTTTTGGATGTCTTATTTAACATAACAATCCTTTTGAGATTCATCTGTATTGTTGCTTGTATCAGCAGTTCAATATGTGGTTTTAAGACTGTTTGGGAACAGTCCAGAGATAGCTTGTCCCACTAGATTTAGAGTCATATGGTAAGTTAGAACGGTGGCCCTACAGGTGTGCCCTTGGCACTCTTTCGTTCCCAGATCCTTGCAGAGGGTCAGTAAGGTCCGACCGATTTCCATAATAGTGTCAAGGTGTGATTTGCCTTTTTTCATCCTCCTCTCATGGATGTGCAGTGAGGTTTTCCAGATGATATGTGATATGTGGATTCACAGCACATTGCATGCAGAAGCAGATAGGAGAGTCCATCTTTCTGTTAAGCTCTCTGACTTAGAGAAAGGTGTAATAATGTTAATGTCACTCTTCTCACTAAAATTTTTTGGTTTTCTCCTCACTAAAATTTTTTGTATTGGAAATTTATTTTTCATAACAAATACCGTTTATAACAACATGTAATGGATTGTTATTATTAGATGAATTAACAGACATTTTAAAATGTCTTATCTTTAACTTCTCATATGACAGATCATCATAAATATAAACTGTTTTTGACTGTCTGTCAAATGAGAAGTTAAAAAGCTCTTTGAGCAGAAGCTCTGTAGGGTCCTCAATTTTGTACTGTAGAGAAGTCCTGAGACCAAGGAGTTTGAGAATCACCGGGTTAGAGATAGTTTTGAAAGGAGGTTTGGGAACATGATGAGAACTCTGGAGCTGGAGAGGAATTAGAAGAGGGTCATGCGACCTGGCTTGACAGGCCTGGAAAAGGGTCCTCTGTTGAGTGGGTACAGAGGGGCTCGCCCACACGTAAATGCAAGGACACACCGTGCCAGTTCTTAGCCTCCTGCTCTCCGAGGACCTGGTCAGGCAGGTTCTGTTGATTCCTTGGTCTGCGTGCTTCCTACCAGGAGCTAATGAGTAACCTACGCCTGCCTGCAATTGGCTCACAGAAGACTGATCGGGAGGCCTGAGGAGGCCGCTCTTCCCTGATATGAGGTTACAGCCGGGGTCTGATGTCAGGTGGGGGGCATTGTGGGGTCTGCTTTCTCTGCTGGATTCTTCCGCAAGGGCAAATGTAAGAAATCATTAGCTATTTCTTTGTCTTTCAAGAAAAAAAGTTCCTCTTACCCCCAGTAGAGTTCTAAGCTCAAGTTAAAGACTATCTAAAATAATTACTTGAGCAAAGGCAGGTGGGAGGCTACTTTTATTATTGGCAGTATCCTTGTGGAAAAAAAAAAAATACGTGTGGCTCTTTAGGGATTTTCATAACACTATTGACAAACTACAGCAAAATGACACCTACTGCCTTTTGACCGATTCATTGCTTTTCTCTTGCAGGCGAAAGGGCCTATGGTTGCGCCTGAGGAAGATACTCTTCTGTGTTTTGGGGTTGTACATTGCCATTCCATTTCTCATCAAACTATGTCCTGGAATACAGGCCAAACTGATTTTCTTGAATTTTGGTAAGTGGTATGTGTCCATTTTTCCTTTAATTTTAGTAAGGGTTCCTTTTCATGATGATGTCTGATTTTAGGGGGAGTCTTTTTACTTTAATGGTGATTTAGTTTACATGCAGTGAAGGGTATATATCTTAAGTGTACAGTTTATATACCTATATCTTTATAGAGAGAGAGGTAGAGCTACCACCCAGATTGAGAAATAGAACACTTTTATTACCCAGAAAGGTCCCTGTGCCCCTTCCCAGCTGGAGGACTTTCTGTGCTAGGGTTGCTCTCCGGTGCTGGATTTGTGTCCACAGAAGACTACACTGCACTGGAGGCCCAGCGTGTCTGTCTTCAGCTGAGGTGAGTAAAAATGTTGACAACCTGAGAAGTCAGCTGAAGCCATCATGTTGGAGATGCCTTGTCAGTTGTGCATTCTAGGAGCCTAACTGCCTTTAGAAAAGATGACCACTAAAAAATATAGTTTCTTTTTTAAAACAAATTAGTTTTTTATACCCCTAAAAAATCCAGATATACAGTACTTTGGTTTCTGTGGAATTTTGTGCTGGCCTTGTAGGTATTGTAGTCTCCTTGAGTGAACTTGGATCTTGTGTGTTTTTTCACGTTGTGTATTTGCTTTTGGAGATGTGGAAGGAGAAAGGTGCAGATGTATCAAGCCCATGAAGTCGAAGGCAGAGGCTCTGGGCACATGGCCCTGGGAACAGTCCTACAAGTGAGGCTCCAAGGAAAGGGCTGCATCTGTGGGTACGAGGTTTGAGAACAACCTTGAGGTTGTTCTCAAACAAACGAGGTTGTTTAAGAACAACGAGGGCTTGCACACGGCGGGTGTTCTGTGAAGGACAGCCTGAGAGGCAGGTGCTGACAGCATTAGAACAGGATGAGGCAGGGGCTCTGGGGTCACTTTGTAGCTAGATTGGTTTGCACATAGTGAGTCTGGCCTTGCGTGTTTGGGAGTTTAAGGCTTGCAAAGCTGGGCCTGATATTGCTGAGGCAGCAGGTGAGCTGGTGGGGTGGGAGGAGGAGGAAAGGAGGAGGCCACAGAGGAACACAGGAGGTACTGAGAGGCTCCAGACTCCCTCTGCAGGCATCTGGGCTTATGAGTTTGGGTGTTCAGTCTATAATAGACTTAATCACAGAAACTTAGGAAATGACTGGCTAAAAAAGGAATTTCTGTTTCTTTTTGTTTTTGTTTTTTTAATGCTGGTAAGAAGAACAGAAATTGTAAGGTTATTTAATACTTTGTAAATCTGACTTTTTTATTTGGGTGTCTTAATTGTAAAACACATGTAGTGTACTAAGAGGCATTTGATTTTTCTAACGGAAAAGTAGAACTAGGAATTTTTCATCTCTAAGTTTTGCCACTTGTAAGAAGCACAAACTCAAAAAGAAACTAACAGTATACCAAAATGATGAGAGTTTTGTTTTTCTGACTTTAATGTTCCTTAAATATACAAAGTACAGCCCAGAAAGGATTTGGGGCTTAGGTATAAACACGAAGCTACAAGGACTGCAGGTTCACCATCAACAGACCTCAGACTTGACCCTCACAGCTTTTGCACCTTTGCTGGCCTCCTTGGGCAGGTGCCTTTGCTGCCGGGCACGTGAGCTGGTTCTTAAGGGAGGGTGTGTGGGGTGCATTGCCCTGTGTGGCCTAGTACATTGTGGGCTCCCAGCAAATGTTTGAATTGAATAGATTTTCTTTAACTTGATTGTTTGGGCTACTGTAGACACATAGCCTACAGATTTTGCTCTGTGGATTTCCTAAGGAAGTGGCAGACTGCTATGAGGGAGAACTTTGGGTTCTCCTGGTCCAGCCCCGTGGCATGGGAGAGTAGGGCTGGGCTTGGGTAGGGGAGGCTGAGCCTCCCAGGGTGTTGCCCATCCTTAATGATTTCCTTCCACCTGTTTGCCACACTGGAGTAGGAGAGCCTACAGTGGCATTTTGTTTTGTTGTTTTGTTTTGTTCTGAGACAGGGCGTGGCTCTGTTGCCCCAGCTGGACTGCAGGGGTGTGATCATGGCTCACTGCAGCCTCGACCTTCCAGGTTCAGGTGATCCTCTCACATTAGCCTCCTGAGTTGCTGGGACTCTAGGCACCCACCACCACAACATCTGGCTAATTTTTTATATTTAGTGGAGATGGGGTTTTGCCATGTTGCCCAGGCTGGCGTCAAACTCCTGGGCTCAAAAGATCCTCCCGCCTTGGCCTCCCAAAGTGCTGGGAGTACAGGCGTGAGCCACTGCACCCAGCCCAGTGGTGTTTTTGAAAGAGATTTTTAGTTGCCAGTATGATAAAAATCTGTGTTTCCAGCCTCTTTTGAAAAGTTGACCAAAGGTCTAGCACCAAGAAACAGTGTCCCTGGGAGCAGCGATTGGACATACCTTCTGCCTCACCCCCCTGGGCATCTGCCTGGCCCTCACACCCTACTCCTCCCTCCTCCCCATGATGAGCGACCCTCATCTCCAGGCCGCACTGTCCTCCCCAGGAAGCCACTTTGTATTTTGTCAGTGCGTGAGGCCCTTCCAAGTGTGGGTCTCTGTCTCCCCCTTTGGGAGGAAGGGCAGTCTTCAGAGGAGCAGCATGGAGCTTGTTGGTTTTCCAGTTGTAATGTGCATCCAAGGTTTACAGGTCTGTGCCTGTCTGTGGCGCCGAGGAGGTGGGGTCTGTGGCGTGGCCCTGCGGTGATTTGGAGTTTTGTTGGGGAGGTGCCTCTGCTCTTGTCTCCAGACAAGAAGCATGACCTGGGCATCCATTCAACATTACAGGAGGAGTAGCAATCTCTTGGGCCCTAGAATGTGGTTAAAATATTCTTCACAGCAAATCTATCTGAAACCAAATGTATAAATTAGATAAATAAGCTTTTAAAGAAACATAGCAACTATAATTTAAGGCATTATTCTACTTTAAATAAATTTTCATAAGCAAAACATCATGATTATTCTAGAAACAAAGAATTAGCTAAAAAAAAGAACCCTCAATAGAATAAATAAGAAAATGAACATTACTCTGAGAAAATCCTTGTTAACACTGTACTTTATTTCCTACTGACCCTTTTTATATGTGTCCGTTTACATACACATAAATATATGTGCTTTTCAATACTTGTATTCACAGTCTGATCCCATCCAAAAGATGTTTGGATGAGACTCAGCATTTATGAAGCCTAGAATATCTTCCCAGCCGTTACTTGCCTTCAGATCAAGAAGGAATCTCTTGGTGAAAGTCATGTCTTGGTTTACAGGCTAGGCAGGGATTTTTTGGAAATAGGTCAGATCTATCATCATGCATTTGTTTTTAAAGCAAAGGGCCAGATTCCTCTTTGTCCTTCCCCTGAGCAGTCCCTGTTAACTCCTGTTACCTTTCTTTTCTTGTCCCTCTTTTTTCACACGGAAGGCCCTGTAAGCCTGCATCAGGTAATTGGAATTTGATAAAACCCAAATAACCAACCCAGGCTTTCCCTTGTTGACACCACACCTCTTATGGCTGCCGGTATCAAGGCTGCTCTGTTACTCACAGTGATTGGAATGAGACTTAGCTCCGTGTTCAGACCCTCAGCACTCAAAGACCATCACAGCTTAGTAGTTTCAGCCTTTCCCCCACCAAATATTTTGCAGGTGAGCTAAAAGAAGTATGACAGAGCAGGTCGTTTTCCACCCTCACATTCTCACTCCTTCACTCTCCACGGCACCCGTGCGTGCAGAATCCATTCTCTATCCTGTCTGTTGATGTTTGTGGTTGCTGGTACGTGATGACGTAACTGGAGGGTGGACAGTGAAAACTGGGGGAAGCAGGAGCAGCTAGAGGCCTCAGTCCCAGCAGCCCTGTGGGCCTTGCTTGCCCATGGTGCTGGGGCCCCTGTGAGGAGCTCCCAGTTCAGAAGAGCCTGTGAGAGGGAGCCATGGGAGAGCTGGACCTCAGTGGCGGCACACTGCCCGGGCCACTCCTGTGGGGCTGCCACGGGGCTGAGCATTCTGTCCCCACTCCAGGCCTGTGGATGAAGCAGGGGCCTGGGCAGGGTGGACTCCAGCCAGCATGCCAGAGTCACGGGGGCCACAAAGAGTCGATGTCCATGGGTGATCTGACCACGCGGGAGGCCAGAGGGTCCTGGCACTCGCCTGGCACTGGTCTGCAGGAGTGAGCCAGTAGTGCTTCTGGCCCTGGGTGGATCCTGTGACCCTACACACACCAACCCATCTCACCACCCATCTCACTTTGAAGCATTTCTGCTCATTTAGAGTAATACTGGCCAGGTGGTTCCTACAGCCACCCGCCCTGGGGCTGTGTGATCCCTGGGACCAGCCAAGCTCCATGCCTCCCATGCCACATGACGCTGGTTGGAGGTGCTGCTGCGGAAGAGAAGGTGCCAGGCAGTATCTGGGGGACTTCAGAGCAGTCACTGTGCCTCCTTTTTTTTTTTTTTTTTTTTGAGACAGAGTTTCGCTCTTAGTTGCCCAGGCTAGAGTGCAGTGGCACAATCTCAGCTCACTGCAACCTCCACCTTCTGGGTTCAAGCGATTCTCCTGCGTCAGCCTTCCCGAGTAGCTGGAATTACAGGCATGCGCCACCATGCCCGGCTAATTTTGTATTTTTAGTAGAGATGGGGTTTCTCCATGTTGGTCAGGCTGGTCTCGAACTCCTGACCTCAGGTGATCCGCCCACCTTGGCCTCCCAAAGTGCTGGGATTACAGGCATAAGCCACCATACCCGGCCTCATGGTTGTTTCTAAACCGAGTAAAAGTGAACTGGAAGACCAGCTTCCTGGAATGAGGCCGTCCTGGAGTAGAATTTGGCTTCCTAGTTCTTAGATTTCTTGGGCTTGGAAGCTTTCTGGATTAGCTGCTAATTCTTGTAAAATACTTTTCAGTGGCCGGGGAATGCTCTCAGAACTCTTGGACAGTTTGTGTCCCAAGAGCTTGGCATCCTTCTCCAGACACAGAACTGAGTGAGGCCTGAAGTGGAGCCGGTGGAAGCCCAGTGTCCTCGGCCCTCAATGGTGCCCG